CCGGGTTACACTTGACGTACCCCCGACGCACTAATCACGGTAGGGCAGCTGTTAAAAATCGAAAAAAACCAGTGCTTTAATGCTTTTGAATGGTCAGCAAGAGTAATCAGAGTTTTTCAGCAATTTCAGGTAACCTACAATTTTTTAACATACCGATCGAGATGCATGGTACTTTTACGATTTACTATCCTACGTAGTAATTTTTTTAAAGAAAATTATGAAAAACAATGCACGAATTTGGATGTGAAAAATTTTGGAGATATACGATTCTTAATTTTATATTTGTGATATACTGTAATAGAAAAAACGATAATAAGATACAGCATACACGTGATCTAATTCTCTAATTTTGCCATATTCTAACATTAACCTTAACTATAGTGCTGGGTGCTGGTCATACTGTGTCGGTAGTTATATTCAATTATCATGTGTTAAGATATGAATCGGCCTTCAAAAGTGCGGTCATGTGAATAGCGCCACCTGCTGTAATTGCGGCAGACTGGATCTATAGTAAGTATAATATTTTAATCCAATACATTAATAAAAAATATATATATTTACAACCAAATAAAGAACTATGAAAATTTTGACCCTGCATTGTATATTTGCGTATTTGAAGGCGATTCGTTAAGATAAAAAAGCATTATTAATTTCATTAACTAAACACAAGTAAGCAATCAATTTCCGGCAATATGACAAAAAAAAAAAAGATTCTTGAAAATTTTAGTTAATCCTAATGTGCTTTATGACTCTAATATTATTTTATTTGACTGATTGAGGATTTTTTAAAATATTTAATATAGTACTTTGACGTAAATATTTTGGAATTATATAATTGTTATTAAAGATTATCAGAACGTAAGCAGTGTAACAATAATATGTATAAACTAAGTCAATGAAAACGTAACAATTTTTTTTCTTTCGGTTCATAAGATCGGAAATCACATAACACCACACCGTTTTACCACGGCTAAGATTCTAAACCCAATAGGATCCTTCGATTCACTCCGGACAATAATGGCTGATTTGTTTCAAACAAATATCCAATGTTTATATAAGGCGCGTTCATTCAAAGAATCGAAAATCTTATTAATTGTAACTAATTTAACAACCATAATATCACATGCATATCACAATTACGTAAATGATCCACAAAGTTTAATCGCTTCGTTGAGGTTGTGTCTCACGATAATCTTGTATATGCGTAGCCTACATACACATTTTTTATAGTTTAATGAAAACTCTGATTGTATCATACATTTAAACCTAAAAATTCTCATGCAATTATTATTATTATTATATGCATATATACATAGTAAATATTGCTACGTAAGTGAAAAAAAGATGACTAAGTTACACATTTACTATAATTTTGAGTATTTTTATGGAGAATTCTCTCTTTATATCTGAGAAGATTATTCTCTTCGACTAAGTAAAATAATTAATTAAAATCAAACCGAAATGGCTTTTCAACTTGTTCCTTCAATTGCTGTTCTCTTGACTCTTATTGTATTTTTCCTTTGCCTTCTTACCTTTGCGGGTGTCCCTCATACTGACCTTCCTCAAGATAATAGCCGTTGGTTAAAATATCCTGCGTGGCATCCTCCTCTTAAAGGTATACTATATTTCTTATATCACTTATAATATTATTATGCTTATTGTGTTATATCTAACAAATCGATTATTCATTAAGGACGCGATGACAACAGAACCGATAGTTGTTTATTTTTCTCCTCTCTCTTCATAACAATCGGCTGTTATTTAGGCGCAAGGTGGACCGCAAATCCTCCAACCCTTCCTAAACTCCAGTCTGTTTTTGTCAGCGAAACCGAAAACGGCACCAAAAAAATTTCGGCTTATGGGTTTAATCGTCTTTTAGTTCTTTATAGTTTTATTACCATGTTGACTTTGTCTTCAATTCTTATCTTCGATATTGGTAAATTTTGGGTGGCCCTTGGTATCCTTCATAATGCCTCCGAATTTTCGGTTTTGGTTTTAATAGGCTCTGGTGGAAAGATCAGAAGTAATCTTTTTTGGGGAATTCTATGTTGCTATTGGTTCTTTGTTTATATTGGTTCTCTTCTCATAGAGTGGCCTTATGATGCTGTTTGGTTTAAATTCCAAGGTATGTTTTGATTATTTTTTTTTTATATTAATTTGTAATGTTCGTTTATAAACAATATAAATTTATATATTATTACAGGTCTCTGTTTTGACTATGCTCTTATGTTCACTTTCATCCGTATCTACATCAATACAAACCAAAAACTTAAGAATTATAATCATGAACATGTTCCTCTTAATCGGGATGATGTTCAACATGATGGACAAGAACATGGTCATAATTCACATGAACATTCACATGATCAAGAAAATGAATATGAAGTTATTCATCATCCACGTCAACTTCTACTATTAGTTTTTGCTTCAGTCTTTCATAATATTGGTACCCTCACTGCCACG